ACTCGCCAGTCTAAGGCAGCGGCTGCCTATCCGAGGCCTTCTGCTGGACTTTTGAGACCAGTTGTCCGTCCTCCTACTCAAAGATACAACTACAAGCTCCGTCTCGGTCGTGGCTTCACCGTGGAGGAGCTGGCCGCCGCTGGTATTTCTGTCAAGCTCGCACCCACTATTGGCATCAAGGTAATTAGGATCTCTGCTAAGTCAATATTGTCATCCCCGTATCAGGTCGACAAGCGTCGTCACAATAAGTCTAATGAGTCTCTTGCGTGCAATGTTGATCGCTTGAACCAGTACAAGGCTAGGCTTGCTGTCTTCCCTAGAGGCTCGAAGGTGAAGAAGGGTGATACTGCTCGTGCTGAGCTAGTTAATGGTACTCAAAACACCTGCAAGGTAATCAATCGATGTCGGACTATCTTGCATATATCAGTTTTCCCCTCCTGTTAGACTATTATTCCCGTCCCTACCGCCCGTGTTGTGGAGCACGCCCGTGCGATCACTAAGGGAGAGCGCGAAACTTCCGCCTACACTACCTTGCGCCAGGCTCGCATCACGAAGAAGATGGTTCCCAAGCGTGCAAAGGCTGCTGAGGAGAAAGCAAATGCTGAGAAGTAGATTGTAACAGTCGGATGACAGTGCTCATAGGAGCTGTTATCACGGCGTGGACGTTGCTACCGGCTCGTTGTCGATCGTGCGCTTCTGGATCCGCCATTGTGCCTTTGTCTGTTCGAGTTCATTAGTTCGTTCGCGGTAAATTGGGATATCATTGCCTAGGGAAGTGTTGTCTCCTCTCTCAAATGGAGTAAGACTCTCATGTCCTTGAACGATAGCCTCGACTGTGAATATTCTCTTTTTCTTTTCTGTCATAGTTCTCTGTCAGCACATCTCCAAGTAACGTGAAAGCGTCTCTGTGAGATCCATATCTCTTTCAACGGGCCCTTGATAGGTAATAAGGTTAATAGAAGCCACTAGTCAGCCCTTAATAGGTTGACTACCACTATAAACCTCGAACTGACGGGTGAGAAGGAGATAGGAACAGTATCACAGCTCAATCGATCGATGGATCCACGAGTTGATCGCGATGTTAAGTGGTGAGGGCGGGCAACCCTTGTCCTTGAGATGAGGAACGGAGCGGGCGGATGGAGATGTGATTCGCATAGCTGGCATATCCAAATTCATTTTGTAAGGCGTTCACCAGCGGATGTTAGATTGGAGTGTAATAATTCTTTGTCGTGAATGATGGGTCTGTTTTACTGCCGAGGGTTGATGACATGCAGCTAAATCCTTTAGCCACGATCCAACAGTGAATGTTAAGTCTTCAGCAGACTTCGGGCCCCGATTTCTGGCAATCAGTAACGAGTTTTACATTGGCATAGATGGTAGATGTTTACGCCTTTGTCAGTCACAGATTCACCAAATTCAAGAACAAACTAACATAGTGGAGCTTGTTTTTCACTGAATGAGAAATCGAACTCGAAGTGAAAGCTCAATTCTCGTGCACAGTCGTAGATGAAAATTGCTAACTCGTAAATGAAAGATATGTAATCGGAAAGTGAGCTTCGAAAGCTCATTTTCACTCGATAAATAGATGCGTTTCATCAACATTGGGTAGTGCAAGGGCTACAACTTGTAGCCTACAACACACAGCCTTCTGAATAATATTCCTCTATGGGGAGAACTGAGTGAGTGAAAATCTATTTGGCCCCTGAAAATCAGGAAAACATGGCCAAACTACATCAGTAATATCGGCTAAACGCGCTTTCATTATCTAGCTGTGAGATCTTAGATCACATCGCTTTGCTCCGGTTTGCACATAGCTGGAAGAATTACTGCGGTTTCATTTTGGTTTGTGTGATCGATCAATATGGCGTGAGGAAGGGGGTGAGATTGTGAGAATCACACATGGTGAGCATTTATGTGCGTTTTGTGCTAGCAAGTACAGGGGCCTATTTCACAAGCCATCATAAGGAGCGAAAATTGTAAGGTACCTTACGGTTTCATGGCAAGTCGCTTTCACATCCTTACGATTTGGGGGGTTGGCGTAAGGTAAGGTGGCATAAGGCTCCTCACCGTAAGGCTCCTTACCCTACAAGGTGCAAGGAGGGCCTCCTCATGTAAGGCGATTTCATAGGAGGCATTTTTGGGCCCCTCCTTGCTATCCTTATGTAAGGTGCCGTAAGACTGCTCGGGGGGTACTTTACGCACCTTATCGCACCCTCCTTACCATTTTATGCGACCTTCGCTCCGCTTATTCCCGACAGCCCGCGCGTCTCACCCGCGGATGATCTATCCCCGAACCATGCATTTTTACCGCATACTCGACTTGGCGTTTCAGCGATCTACGATCATGACCGATTGCTCTCGAATGAGGTGATGGAAAAGTTTTCGAGTTTGTTTTATCCAGTGGCAATAACCATATTATTAGCTTTATTGAGACACTGCGTCGACTCTTTCATGCACATCGGTGTTCGTTTAGGTGCTCCTCGTGCTCCTTATAGGGGTTCACGAGGTGCACCTTAAATTTAGGAGCATAAGGAGCATGAGGTGCAACTGTAGTGAAAGCACCTCGCGTAAGGTGTAAGGCTCCTTGCCCCTTGCTCCTAAATCCAAGGTGCACCTTAAGGAGCGTTTCTTGTGAAAT